GGTGATATGGTCAACATCAGTATCAATAATACATGCACTGACACAGAGTGTGGAGACTTACATCAGATGTGGACACTTACATGTCAAGTACAGGTGACCTGCTGTAATCAAAAGCTGTCATTGTGGGCAGTAAAAATTTCAAGGCAGGCAGGTCTTGCTGGTCACACTCGCCATCGCCATGGGCTGTGTGTCCCGTGCCTCTTCATAGCACAATATAACACTAAAGTCTAGAAAGGCATAAATGGGTCAATCACAAGTTGCTGGCTACTTGGTGATAACAACTGTCCACCACTGAATCCACTGGTGCAGCAGCTAGAGACTTGTATAGTAGCTCAAAAGTCTTGAGTTTGAATCTGCATCAAAGTGGGTTTTTATAATTGACCTGGGCTCAATTGTAAAAGATAATATCACAAATGCATGGGGATGGCACAGAAAATGCTCACCTTGTCCAAGTGGCTGAGTTTAAACACCCTAACTGTGACATCAATGTCAGCCTCGGAAGATGACAACAGCTCCACACTGAGAGACCCATGCTCCACCGTATAACCATACTCTTCTGGCCAGTACAAGGCACATGACTGTGGACATAGACACGATGTTGTAAAAATTACCATTATAAGCAATCATCTATAAGAAGTTGAAAACATGTCTTCCATGTCCTAGTCCTCAAACCCACATTGGACAGCAAGCTACTTTGTAACTGTAGGTGTGCCCTAATATAGCGGTGTTATATGGTTAATGGAGTTTCTGGGATTTGCTGCTGTTTGATTCTCATCCATGAGGTGTTAATCCTATGGACAGCAATCCTGAAGGCGAACAATGATGGATGACCTCCTTCATCTCAGGGTTTGTGTCTAGGATTCTTCTTCTTCTTTTTCTGGTGCTTTTAGTAAAGACCACATTGAAAACAATCAACTGTTTCTGTGCATGTTCCCCCCACTGAGCTTTCTAGTCCCTGTGTGTGGAAGGGAGAGGGGTAGACCCACTGCCAACAACAACCATGTTGTAAAAGGTGACTAATTAGGGAAGCCTCCTTTGAAGTTGGAGTGCATCTGCCTAAGAAGCAAGGAACCAACAGTCTGCGTACAGATAAGTGAGATCTGTAAAACAGAAGTGCATGCAAAACTCAAGTCCTGGAACAAGACCACAAACTCCATAAATGGACAAAGAACCAGAACTTTCCGCCAGAGTCTGCAGCTGATGAACGCTAAGAAGAAGAAGACAGAAATAAAGTCAGTTCCTAGTCATTGCTTGTGTTCAATGAATTCATCTACAAAGAGCAGCTCAGCAGGATCCCAGACAGACATTTGGCTCTGAAAGAGTTTTTTTTAAATAACACAATGGGACAAAAGATTTCAATTTACAACTAAAGCAGAGGGGGTTAATATAACAACGGGATGGGGCTCATGGAGGTAAGAAAGGTATTTCTTATTAACAGAAATAAACAAACATGTTATGCATTGTTTAAGACTGAAAGAGTTGAGAACCTTTTGTTTCTTTTTATCGCGTCATACCCAGGGTTATCTTTGGCGAAGTGATCAAGCTATTTACTTTGTGCTCTGAAATCTGGCTTTGCTTTCAGACTGAGCTGATAGATTCAATAATGATTTCATTGCTTCAAGACGTCTCAACTGTTGATGAAAATTATGTGAGTATTCAGCTGCAATGTTTTAGAGCGCTTCTAGGGCTATGCAGATTAGCAGTTCAACTGAATACTTAACAAAAACAACAGTCTATCATTTCAAACTCATCATCATCATCATCCTGTATTACTATCTCAAATATGGGCCTGAGGTCTATTCCTCCACCCCATTCTTTCCTGTGCAATTGTTTCTGATATCACAGATGGAATCCAGTCCAGAATCTCAGGCATCTCTTACAAACAATTATTTTACTTTCATTTTCACTTTGATTTCCTTGTTTTTTTTTAAAGATCTTTTTGCTTCCTATTTCAGTTTCCTGATTGGTGATTCTGATCGCTTTTTCCTCAGGATGTGCCAAACAGTCATCATTTTTGTCTTATAACTGTTGATACTAGTGGATGTCCACGAATTTCTCTTATTTTTTCTGCCTTTCTCAAATTCATCCCATTTAATGTTCATCAATTTCCTTGGGCATCTGTTTTTAAATGTATTCTAACTTTCATTTCATGTCTTCTGTGATTTTTGGTTTTTATTGCACTTAACTAATATACCTATTGACACCCATTATTAAAACATCCAAACATAAGTTTGAGCGCCAAGAAACAGATTACAAACAGCATATTCATAAAAACACTGTGTTATCAGTGCCAGACTTGGATATTATAAAAGGCTAACCTACGTAAACTTAACACCTGCAAAATGAGATAAGAAAAGCGCCAACTTAAACATGTGAGACAAAGAAATTATATTATCAGACAGACCGTGAGAAAAACACCATGTAGCAAATACACTGAGAAACAAAAGATCAAATGTTTTGGCAATTCATTAAGAATGCAGCCAGAACTACTACTAATGCAGGCGCTACACATGAAAAAATCTGAAGTGAAAGCAAGAGGCCGTCCCAGGAGAAGATGAAGTGATGACATTAAAGAGCTTCTATATCAACATGGAATGACAATAGCCAATGCTGCCCATCAAGCAATGGATCACAAATAGTTCCTCCCCACAACGCTTAACTGAAAAGCGGAAATTGATGATGATGAACTTTCTTTGATGTCTATAGTGGTCCAATTGTCTCTGGCATATGATAACATTAAACTAAATTAGAATTAAAAATACATAACTTGGTTTTTAAAATGATATAGATGCAACAGAAACTGCACTCGTAAACTGAATGATGCAGTCCATTAAGTGAGCCCCTGATTTACAGAGCACAAGACATGTAACCATGGAAATCCTGACACAGGCTTATACACATACTTTCCCTATAAGAGTTGCACAGTCCCACTGTGGGGGGAATGAGAATAGCCTCCAATAAGCACGTCGTAAATGTTGACTAATTAGGGGTGTTCCCTTCTAATTCAGAGTGCATCTGCATGGGAGGCGGGGCACCAATGGTCTGTATATAAACAAGCTGTAAAATGGATGTACATGCAAAACTCAAGTTCTGGGACAATGCTACCGTCCGGAATTGAACAAACAAGCAGAACTTTCCGGCAGAGCTTACAACCTGCTAACGTCAAGAATAATCAGAAGATACACACACCTTGTCATTTCTGTCAAACTCATTCAGCATGACAATTGTGTCAGATGTTGTATCATACAGCATTCGCCAGAAATCTGCTACGGTAGTGGGTAGGGGCATCTGTGTGACGAGGAACTGGTCCTTCTGGGTGTAGCCCTGAAAATGAAGTAAATAGCAAGGTTAACTACTGGGGTGTAGCCCTGAGAATTAAATAATTGGCAAGGTTAACTACTGTGAGTGCAGCCCTGAGAATAAGGTAAATGGAAAGGTAAACTACTCTGGTGTGGTCCTGAGAATGAAGTAAAGGGAAATGTTAACTACTGGGGTGTAGCTCTGAGAATGAAGTAAACAGAAAGGTTAACTACTGGGGTGTATCCCTAAAAAAGAAGTAAAAGGGAAGATTCACTACTGGGGTGTAGCCCTGAAAATGAAGTAATCAGAAAGTTTAACTACTGGGGTGTAGCATTTAGAATGAAGTAAACAGAAAGGTTAACTACTAGGGTGTAGCCCTAAAAAAGAAGTAAATGAAAAGATTCACTACTGGGATGTAGCCCTGAGAATGAATGAAGTAAACGGAAAGGTTAACTACTGGGGTATAACCCTAAAAAAAGAAGTAAACGGAAAGATTCACTACTGGGATGTAGACCTGAGAATTAAGTAAACGGAAAGTTTACATTATTTTGTTATTTGTTAACAAAGTATCACTATTCTCAGAGCAAACGTGTGTTCAGTTCTAGATTTTTATTTTTTCATTTAATTATTTTTGTAAGCTTTCTTTACCGTCTGCATGAACCATTATATGTGGAGAAGCGGCTGGCTGGACAGTTAGGAGTGCTGTTCTTCCATGCGGGATTTTTTCTATCAGGAGCACACACCAAAAAAAACCTAACCTGCAGGTGACAGCACTAGCCATGTGCCCTAAAGCTCAAAAACTCTCTGCTTACACCGCAAAAAGTGGTTAAAAACAAGGGGAGGGTGGGGGGGGGGGGGGGGGGGGGGGGGGGGGGGGGGGAAAAGCAGTAATGATGGTTTTTATGTACAACCAAGTAAGGCAGTGCAGACAGAGGGTCTAGAGCCCGAGAAAGTCCGGTCACATGGCTAGTGTAATCGTCACAGACAGGGGTTAGGATTTTACTTTTGCTCTGACGACGGAAGGGGGGGGGGGGGGGATACATCACTTCACCAAGGATTCAAACCTGGGTCCCTCAAATGAGAGTCCAGCATTCTTATCCAACTTGCCAGCTACTCCTCGATCAATAATTACAGTATGAAATTTATACATTTTAAAATGTTGTGCTAATGTAGAGTGAATATCGGTTAAATGCAATATATGATACTGACATGCTTAAAAATAATCATAATTTAAAAGGCAAAATACTGACTGGTTTCCCTTTGGGCATCTAATTTGAGTATGCTGATGATGATATATCGAAATCCTCTGAAGGAAATACTATCCAGTGTCATGAGGCACATTCTATGATTCAAGAATTTTCACTTTCATTCTAAGTGAGAGCCAAGAACATGTCAACTACAAAGATTTCAACTCCAGACCTGATTAGGCAGCTGATCAGTTCAAAATATCTCTATTTTAATTGAATTCAGCATCGCTTTCGCCACTGAACCCTGGAACCTGTCGACATTTTAAAAATAATACAACTCTAATTCAGACACAGTTACATGAACTTGTTTTAATCAAGCAATAGTTAAAATGGTGTGTGCAACTTATGATCTAATGAAACTACTGCTTCCATCGACAAAGAACGGTATTTCTAGTGCCAGACTGTTTGTGTCGGCACTTCTAACAGCTGCTTATGTTTTTATTTAATGCTTGT